GGAAGCCTGCTTCTCCCTCTCCCACTCCCCCTGCTTGTGTTCCTGCTCTCGCTCTCTCTCTGTCAAATAAATAAATAAAAATCTTTAAAAAAAAAAAAATCACACTAAGGCAATTCCCTCTTCAGAGAGATGGAGGATGTCCACCGCACGGGGTGGGGGGTGGGGGGGGATGAATATGGCTTCGAGCTCCAGCACCCCGCGCACAACCACCTGTCAGTCTTGTCTTTTTACTGTCCTCCCCCCCCGTGTTCACTAGTTGTTGACTGTGGCCCTCCTGATGACCTACCCAGCGGCCAAGCGGAGTCCATCACAGGCCCTGAAGTGACCACGTACAAAGCGGTGATTCAGTACCGCTGTGATGAGTTCTACACAATGACACCTGATGACGGTAAGCAAACTCTTCAAAGTTGGCGGTGCGTGATATTTGGAACCAAAGCCCTCATGATCTGAAACTAAACTTGAGCCGACATTTTTGGCTAAGGCTACACAAAAGATTAAAAGGCACTTCTTCCACCCGCTAAGTGAAATATTACAGCTTAAGTGACTTTTAATGTCAATTTGCAGGAATCTGAAAACAGATCTTATCTAGTAAATGACTACTACAAACACACAATATATTCCAAATGGTTTAATTTAACAAGTCAAAACCTTATCATTAAGCACTTGAGATCTTGATACATATTCAAGTTACACATCTAAAAGGTTTCCACTTTGCAAGCAAACATGGTTAATGCAGAGACCTCCTATTCATGAAATCATGTAAAATGGTTATTCAGACACCTCTATTTCCCACTGATGCTCAAGAATCAACATTTTTCAAGGGGGTATTCAAGCAAATGACAACCACCTTATACATGCAGTTAAACATTTTTGCTTTTCCAATGATTTGCAGGTAAATATGTGTGTGAGGCTGATGGATTCTGGACGAGCTCCAAAGGAGAAACATCACTCCCAGTCTGTGAGCCTGGTAATGGATACATTTATACAAGAGATTCTTATTGATGGAAGTAGAACTGGGTGGGAGACATCAGCAGAGCTTTAGCTGTGGTGGGCAGAAATGGAACTTCAGCACTTGGTTCTTACACCAAGTTGTTATTTCCAAATACTACGTTCTTATCACCCCCTTTCCGGTCGGAGAGGTTGCTAGGTGCTGACTTTATCAGTCACTTGATTATATCTGACCTTATAACCAGGCAAGCATAAAAAATTAAATTATTTTAAAAATTATCTTGAACCATTTATACATTTATAAACACGAGTTCTGCTGCGGAGTTATTTTTCTCTGTATAACTATTAAAACCCCAAAGCTAATAACTTCATTATTTCCCTAAGCAATTGTTTTCAATGACATCTAGTTTTTAAACATTAATGCAATTTGCCTTTTAATAGTACTCAAAAAAATTTTTTTTTACCAGAATTGGCTCTAAAGATAAAGCTGAGTACAGTGATTAAAAAAATAAGAAAGGTGGTAATATATTCATTACTCCTTTGTTATTTGGCTTAAAAAAAATGATATCTTAGCTGACACAACATTTGTAAGTTTTAATGCCAGTATTCTGACACAACAGGAAGCATAGCTACTACATTAATGAGCACATTGTTAGCCATACACAGTAAATGTAGTTTGGAAGCATCAACTAGACCAAGAATAATTCCTGAACCTGAAGGTTCCTGGCTACAACTGCAACATCCTGATTCTTAAAACATTTGTATGTTCAAAGGTGAAACGAATTTTGCAAATCCTGGGGTAGTGACCTTAGTTCCTGCTTTCCCAGAACTACATGGAAAATACCCCATTTTACAAGTAGGAAAATAAGCAATGAAAAGGTCATTTCCTTTCACTTTCTAATCACATCACCCAGTACATCAGCTCATACAATTCCTGTTTGCCCTATTAATTTTCCCAATCGTGTAGACCAAATTATTTTAGCAAAACAAATTGGTTTCTAAATGTTAATTTTCACTCACCTCATTTTTACCAAGAGGTTTTATCGGGTCTTTGAACTGTGTTTTAAAAAGCAGCCTCACCTGTTTAGGTGGGCACCCAATCAACCCGAGGTAACTTTTGGATGACATCAGACACAATTCCAAAGTGGTAATAATTGTGGGAAAAACCACCGCGGGGTTTCTATAAAGGCTCTGCTTCTTTCCCCAGTTTGTGGAATATCAACTCGTACCATAGGAGGTCGTATATACGGAGGGCAGAAGGCAAAGCTTGGTGATTTCCCCTGGCAAGTCCTGTTACTAGGTCAAGCTACAGCAGCGGGCGCACTCCTGCAGGACGGCTGGATCCTAACAGCCGCTCACGCTGTATACACGCAGAAAGAAGCTGCCTCCTCCTTAGACATCAGAATGGGTACCGTGAAGAGACTGTCGGCTCATTACACACAAGCCTGGGCCGAGGCCATTTTTATACATGAAGGTTATACTCATGATGCTGGTTTTGATAACGACATAGCACTGATTAAATTGAAGAACAGAGTTGTAATCAATAGTAACATCCTGCCTATCTGTTTGCCAGGAAAGGAAGCTGAATCCTTCATGAGGACAAATGACATTGGAACCGCATCTGGATGGGGATTAACCCAGAGGGGTTTTCTTGCCAGAAATCTAATGTTTGTTGACATACCAATTGTCGACCATCAGAAATGTACTGCTGCGTATGAGAAGCACTCCTATCCAGGGGGGAGGGTAACGGAGAACATGTTTTGTGCTGGCTTAGAAGGTGGGGGCAAGGACAGCTGTAGAGGGGACAGTGGGGGGGGCGTTAGTGTTTCAAGATAATGAGACACAGAGATGGTTTGTGGGAGGAAGTGTCCTGGGGTTCCTTTAATTGTGGGGAAGCAAATCAGTATGGAGTCTACACCAAAGTTATTAACTATATTCCCTGGATCAAGAACATAATTAACAATTTTTAATTTGTAGGTCTTCAATGATTCCTTAGTTTTAAAAATTCCTGTAAAAGGTCTTAGCAGCCACGTGGCCTGAGAGACACGAACACATCAGTTGTCGCTCTAACCCCCAAACCACCGCCACACCATGGGTCAGACCCATTCCGGGCGCTTCTCACTCGCCAGGTTTTTCGCCTCTTACTCTTCTGATTCAAGGGGACACAGACAATTAGGTGGGATCACCTTTGCCAATCCAACAGAAACTCGCTGGTTAAATCTGCGTTTAATTACTTACAAAGTCCAGTACATTTTGTAATGGTTATCTATATTCCTACGAATTGCCTGTTCATGTTCTCGGATGACTATTCCACCATGTGGGGGCTTGTTCTTACTAATCTCTAACACAGCTTTATATATTATAGCAATACTGGCTCAGGGATAACACTGAATCATGATTTTTTTGCAAATAAACTGGACACATCGATAACTTTGGCTTAGGTGCTGGCTGACTCCCATGTTTAAAAACCAATACCACAGATTGGTGAGATCTAATTTTTCACTTATCAAATTAGCAGACAAAAAGAACATGGAATAGCACTGTTTCACATTGTCAAAGACAACACACATTTTCTAAAGGACAATCTGGCAATGTATTTGGAAAGCCTTGAGAGCATGCATAGTCTTTGACCTAGTAATTCCAATGTTAAGAATTTATTTTAGCTGTGAGGATGTTCCTGGCACTTGAAAATAGACTAAATAATGTCCACACACAGAAAAGCGCTGAATCGAATGTGCCATTTCCTTAAGAAGAAATATATTAGAATTAAGTGGTGTTATTATAGATAAATCTATAGTGTTTTCTTCCTTCTTACAACGAACATGGAAATACTTGGGCACACTTAACGAACAACGGATCACAAATCATACAATAGCTGAGTATAGAACTCATACACAAGTAAAAGCTACTCACCTAGTACTCAACAACAAATTATTCTAATTATCACATACATCTTCTTTCTCCTAAGGACACAATTTAAGCCGACTTAACCTTAAAAATCTCATGTCATTTTCGTTGGCTGTTCCTCCTTAAGAAGTTCTAATAGGTTCACATTTAACAAAGGGTTTCATTCTAGCCAAATCATCATCACTCATGTATAAAAATTCATTGTGAGTTTTGGCCCAATTTCTCTTGTGCACGTTAAAGGGGAACTTCTTGAGACTCACTTTTTAAAGGTATCTTTCCATCACCTTTGTCACATACAAAAAAGAAATTGTATTTTTCCAGTAAGACTCCAGACACTAAACTGTGGTGGCAACAAATTTTTTATTCAACTGGTTCAAAAAAGTTTTGAGAATGAATGCATTGAGATGACCAAATAGACTTTTAAAAACAAATCTCTGCGAAATGGTTTACTTCTAGACTTCATTTTCTTTTTTCTTTTTTTTTCTTTTTTTAGGGTGGAATTAAATACCCGCAGCTACTGGTGCCGCGAGCATGTTAACAGAAGGCTGCTCCACACTGAAAGCCTTCTAAGACGGGTTTACAACAAGTGTAAATAAGGGATTAAAACCATGCCATTGACAAGTGAACTTACCCCGGGCTCCTTGGAGGCTTGTCAGTTTAGTCTTTGGAGGTCCCCGAATACCATTTTAAGTGTTACCATGTTACTGCTGCTGAGTAATAGTGCAAGTGCTAAAATGCAAAATTCAGATGGTACAGGGTTTGGAAATCATGCAACTTAGATGCAGAAAAAAAATTAAAACAACGCAAGATCCTTTTACAGAGGAAACTGAATAACGAAACAACGTGGCGATCACAAGTCTAAAGGACAACTTCATTTCTACAAGTTAAAACACGTAACTTGCAAAATGACAAACCAACCTATTTATCATAATCTAATCAGATAAGGGCATCAGGTAAAACTACCAACACAAAAACTGTTCATTCTTCCATCAGAAAACAAGCTCAACCCTCACAGTAGTTACATCAAAAGTACAACAGAGAATCAACAGATTATTGCTTTTACATACTTCACAATGCGTCGTGAGAGTCTAATCTGAGTTTGTAAACGATTTTATTCAACATTACTCTATTCCCCCACTTGTGGAGGACAAAGCCCATTTCACTTAACACTTCCAGACAGACAACCCACCCTGCTAGTTCTTAAAGCTATCAGGCTTTGTAATGGATTCAGGCACAAGATAATTTGTGGTTTCTTCTACTTTATCCCTACCGCAATTAATTCCACTTTTCAAATCCCGAACCAGAAAGGTGCTGATATTCCCTTCTTTTTGACTATGCTTTGCTACAAAGCATTTGAAAATAATCAACATTGTTTTTCCCACTCGCCCAAATATTTTTAGAAGGCATGATTCCCAATGGAGATTTATACAGGCCATGTAAATAGAACATCACCCAAATGCACAGAGGCACTAATAAGAAGCTGGAGGGTACTGCTTACCATTTTAGGTGCGGTCACCCAGACTTATTAAAAACTAGATTTAAAAAGAAAAAAAAAAAAACACTTTCACTTTGGACAATGCAAGAACAAATAGCAATTAAGTCTGGGTATCAGGTGTCAATGCATGACAGGTGATGAATCCATTTGACTTGAGACAACTTTTCAAATAAGTTTATTTGAAGCAAAATAAACTATTGCCAAGAAACTTTATGAAAGTTCCATCTCAAAAGGGTCAAAAAAGGGGAATTAACTGCTATGAATTCTTTGCATTCAGGGCTGCAAAACAAAGACACATATTATTTAAATCAGTTTTATTTAAGAATTTCCAACATTGACAACTCTTATAAAAAGCATCCAAGCACAGGACACAGAACTGCATCAGACAGCATTCTCATGGGCGGCTAACAGACAGAGGAACCTCCACCCTTCTTTGCGACACCCCGAGCTCACTGGTGAACTCTGCTTCCAAGTACTCCTGCAAAGCACGCCACAAGCTCCGTCCATGTTCTCAAGCCACCAGCTTCAGTTCACATGAGCACACTTACAGGTCAGTAACAGGAGAGAGCACACACCATACAGCATTCACAGCAGTTGACAAAGGGGTGGGGGAAGTACAAGTATCGTGTCACTTAACACATTCAGCTAACGCGGGTCACCTAACAACAGAACTCACTTAAAGTCTTCCAACAGATGTGGATGTCCTTTGAATGCAAAAAACATTCGTACATTATTTGCTATCATTGCTCTCTGCACACTCTCTCACCAAAGCCACAGGATTGAGAGACACATCTCGCCAAGTTAAAAAATATCCATTATGCACCACCAAGTCTCTGCACGCGCTCTCTCCTTTTCTCGCTCATACTAGCCTTTCATGCCTCGGCACCACCATCAATCCCACACAAGGTTTCAAAAGTTCAAACAGCCTTCTGGTTCCATATCACAGCCTTGCGTTCATAGCGTTGATACGACTCCATGAAATAAAGAGTAGCGGATAAAAATGGGACACCCACCGTCAAAGACGCAGCCTGTGCAGCGTGCTGACGAGTTCTTGAATGAGAAAGCGTGCAGACAGAAGTATTCCTATGGCAGAACATTTACAGCACTACTTTCAATGAAGTGCTTCTTCCATAAACATTTGAAATGAGATGAACTGCAGAGATTAAATGAAGGCTTCGTATTGTACTTTTGCATGTGAAGGGAGACAAGTGTTAAAAAAAACAAAACAAAAACAAAAGAACCAAACACTGTGACACCATGATCTCCAAAAAGGAGATTTTCCTAAGGGAGAAATCCATATGGTGGGGTTCAAATTAAAACAAGGAGGAAAGAATGTAGTTCTAATCAATGGTTTCCATTTGAACATGCAAAGAATTCACTTGACAAGTCCAGGGATAAAAGATTACAGGAGAAACCTTTTGATATCAATTGTAGTGTGTTGGTTTTTACCCATCAAGCAAACAGCAGTTCACTTTCAAACACTCAATATTTCAACCCTTTATGTAACAAAACTTATAAAATTCCTTTAGCTTTTCCTCTTTTTCTAAAGAAAAATGTCAAAAATACTGCTGAATATACTCCACACTGAACAAACCAATTTTGAAAATTCTTAGTACATATGTATTTTACAATATACTTACCATGTGTTTAGAAAAATTTGAATTCCCACCAGTCTCTACCAACCCCACTGTCTACATCCCCCAGCCAGAAGATTTAGAATCCATGCTTGAGCCGAACCCTCCATTAAAACCGCTGCCAGACCCTGCGTTTGATGCAGATCCCCAACCAATTGCTGCACCTGAATTAGAACCGCTATAGGAGTTATTTCCAGAACCAAAGGCCTGATTTGGCTCCCTCTGCATGTTGCCTTGGCTCTGGTTGTTACCTGATGGGCCCGACTGGTTCTGCTGACTGGCTAACATGCCCATCATGCCCCAGCTGCTCTGCAGCGCTGCCTGGGCTGCAGCCATCATCGCTGGATTGATGCTAAAGGCGCCAAAGTTCATCCCTCCACCCATATTACTACCCTGATTGTTTCCCAAGCCAGCTCCACCCCCTCGACTGTTACCAAACCCACCCTGATTCCCAAAGCCACCTGGATTACCACCAAATCTTCCACTTCTTTCTAACTGTCTATTGCTATTGTGCTTAGGTTCAGCATTGGATATATGTACGCTGATTCCTTTAATGATCAAGTCCTCTCCACAAAGAGACTGGGCAACCTATAAGAAATAAGGGGTGTAAATAAAGGAGATTAAACCACTGACTCACGCATCAAAGTAGCAATAACACTTAAGATTTCAAGCCACTGTCTAAGCTGGAGGAAAAACAAGCAATGAACGCTCGTTTCATTTAAACCCATAAAGTCGCCTTTAGCTCTAGTAAGGCGGCAGGGATTTGTCAGCTTATTTTCAACACATAGAACACTCCCAGGTCAGTGCCACATACTGAAAAAATCAAGGGATTACCACGACTATCTAGACCCATATATCCCACAGCTCACAAGGTCAGAAAGCTTGGCTAAGGATGGCAATTAGCTGGGTGGGAGAAGTTCAAAACAAATTACCTAACAGAGCTGGGACAAAATTATTCAAGAGAAAAATACCTGATCATCTGCAAAGGTAACAAAGGCAAAGGCCCGGAACGGTTTGGGAATGAAGACATCTACCACTTCTCCGTACTGGCAGAAGAACTGACGCAGCTCATCAGCGGTCATGTCCTCTGTACAGCGCCCGACGAACACCTTCCTGCTTCTCAGAGGCTCGTCTGGGCTTTGCTGGGCGGATGGAAAGCAAAGAAAAACATGAGATGTATTTTACAAGCATGAAAAGAGCATTATGATAGCAGATATAACAAAAGTTACCTGCCTTTTCTGTTAGTCATTAAAAAGGAGGTACATTCTTAGTTTTCTGCATTAGCACTGCTCTTTAAGAACAGTGAAAAATAACATTTTCTTTTTTAAAGATCTAATTTTTAAGTTCTCGCTACACCCAGCATGGGGCTTGAACTCACAACTCCGAGATCAAGAGTCACACACTCTACCGACTGAGCCTGCCAGGCGCTCCCACATTTTAAAGTTTAAAGTTCAAGACTGTGTATCTGGGGGCACCTGGGTGGCTCAGTCGTTAAGCGTCTGCCTTCGGCTCAGGTCATGATCCCAGGGTCCTGGGATCG